GCTATTCTTGTCATTCTCTACTATTGCCCTCCATTTGTCACCTTCAGTCTCTACTTCCTTATAATGGCTATAGCTATGTAAGAAGTCATTATATATTTATTGGCATGTTTGCTTCTTTATTGATCATCTCCCACGTTAGACTATAAGTTCCATGAGAATAGAAACTGTCTTTTTTTTTTTTTTTTTTTTTTTTTAAACCATTCCCTGGATACCCAGCCCCTAGTTCTGTGTCTATTACAAAGTAGGTGCACATTAAATATTTGATGAATGAATGTATGAATGAGGAACTAATGGAAAATCTAATACTTTGGGGTAGGAATGCAGATGGGCAGAGGAAGATGAAACTGAAAAGAGAAACTAGCCTCAACTATTTAAGCAGGCAAATTTGGCCTCCATATTGTTTCTCCCCTAAGTATAGGTTTTTATCCCATGCCTCCTTACACCATGTGGCTGGCTCTGCCTCTGGTTAGGCCAGCCACTTATTATGCAGAAGAAGGGCTGGGGAGAAAGAAGAGCTGAGCATCAGTCCCACACTTTCAAGCCCTTTAATTCTTTTGGAGAAGGTGGCAGTGAGCACAGAATGCTCATTTGCCACAGCTTGTATTTTGTTGTAAACATTTAATAACTGGTTTAAACAGAAATATTGAGCAATCACTCCTTGCTTTGTTTTAGGGACCAAAACTTTCTTTATCACCAGCAAGTAAAATCAGAAGAAACAATGACTTCCACATAGAAACGGTAACATGTTTATAAGGAAACATTAACTCTACAATCTCAAATCAATATCTACTTCTACCTATATGTTTTTAAATAGCACATATTTCTTTTTCTACTCATAAAAGTAGTGATTCATGTAATTATAAATAATAGAATACTAAAATTATCTTTAAAGGATAGGCTATGAAAATAAAAATCACATCCGTGGAACAAGCCTTTTATTTCTAAATCACAAAAGCTAGTATGTCTGCTTTCATCTCTTACTCTCTTTGGAAACTAAAAAACAAAAGCCTCATTCATCTCCACTTTAATTTCACCTTCTGAATTTATTTCTGGATACCTAGATCACCTGATTGGATTAGCGAGGTAACGTAACCCAGCCATTTGTCTTTACCTCTTACCGCACTGGAGGATAAAACCCAGGCTCCTTTATGTAGTATATAAGGGTTCTCATTTGCTGCCCCCAGGACACCTTGCAGCCTCATTTCTTACCCCTTCTTCCCTTACCCACTTAACGGAGAACTTACCGGAGAAAGGTCATGGGCTCATGTGTGTGTTCTAAAGGTCTTACCCTCTCTTACTCAACCAAATACTTCTGGGTCAGGGAATAGAAAGATGTCCAGACCTCCTTCTTTTGTATATGGCATAGGCTTGAAGGAATGGTTTAAATGATCCTGCTGTGCTGGTTTATTACAAATCGATGAGCTAGGAAGTGAACGCAACTGGAGAGAGTAGTCTTGACTACTTTGGTCAACATGCAGAAATAAGAACCATCCTCAAGTTTTGGGCAGTGCCACTAGTTTACAAATGCCTTGACGAGACTCATACCTGGTCTTTCTTGTGAAGACCCTCTCCCAACTGGCTGGCCAAGGACTTGTAAAATTCCTTAATGTCTAAAAGGTGACCTTTACATGCTCCCCAGTATTGCCTAGAGCTCCTTCATGACTGAGGTGGCTGTGGGCAAAAATGAAATTGCAGAGAAAGAGTATGTCCTCATTGGAGACTCACCAGAAGTCATGGCAAATGAATTCTACAACAGAATATTCAGTGTTCAACTTACCCTGACTATAGGAAGTCTAATATCAGAGCTAGTCCTCCATTTTGGAATGTCTTTGTTCAGCCATAAGTCTGGGAATGGTGTCAGAAGGAGAGGTATATCTGCACTTGGAGTGCATTTTTAAAAGGGTCCCCAGAAGAAGTCTTGTGCTGTTGGCATAGTTAAGCTTCTTGATTGTAGTGGTGTTTACACAAAGCTATACATGGGACAAAATTGCACAGAGTGCCCCGACACACACACACACACACACACACACACACACACACACACGAGTCCATGTATAACTGGTGAAATGTGAATAAGGTCTATGGTTTATACCAATGTCAATTTCCTGTTTTTTTTTAAATTGTACTGTAGCTGTGCAAGATGTTAACGTTTTGGGAGCCTGGGTGAGGGGTGCATGGGAATCTTGCCATATATTTCTTTGCAAATTCCTGTGAATCTATAATTATTTCAAAATAAAAAGTTTTAAAGGAGCTGGAACGGGACTCAGAGTATTGGAGCACTTGATCTAAAACAACGCTTTGGGAATCACCTTGAAACTAGATGCAAAACAATACCTCAATGCAAAAACAGTACCTCAATGTTCACGCCCAAAAATGTTCCTGAAGAAAAGGATGAAGTGGGCTGACTTGGTTGGCATATTCAAAATGTGTATAGACGTTAAGAGGGCCTTTAATTCCCTGAAGCTCTGTTAACATACAAGCAAATTCCGAGCCCCTTTTCTGAAGACCAATAGGTAAGGCAGACAGGCAAGCAGTGAGCTGTCACAGTAAGTCTTTGGAATAGGCCTAAAAGCTCAGGAAACTCTGAATGTCTTATGTATTTAATGACTGCCATTCTCCGATTATGTTAACCTTACTCAGCATCACTGACTTTAGCTTAATGCATTCATCTGACAATATTTATTGCACCTCTACTGTGTGTCTGACACTCTTTACTCTTCTGAATACTTGGGATGTGTCCAGGAACAAAATAAAGAACCCTGCCTTGGTGGAGCTTATGTTCTAGTATAAGGGAGGAGGCAGGAAGAGAAACAGTAGTAAGTGAATTACAGAGCATACTAGAAGCTGGTATTAATGAAAAGAGATGGGTAAGGGGGACCAAGAATTAGGAGATGATGTGGCATGTCAGGGAGGGAGTGTTGTTCACTTCTCTGAGTTCTTAAAGGATATGATTATACTGAAATCAATCCTCTATTTGGATTTTATTTTCCCATTATGAAATTCTCTACCCCACCATTCCTTTCTTCTTCCTAGTCTTTCTCTTCCCACCACCTTTTATTTTACCTTCCTCTTTATCTTTCTTCCATTAATTTTCCCTTTCTTATTTCTCTTCCTTCCCTAATTGTCATTCTTTTTCTCTGTGGTTCTCTTACCTTTTTCTCCCTTACTTCCCCCTGTGACATTCCTTTCCTTCTCCCCTCCTTGTTTCTATTTTTTCTCTCTCCTATTCTTTTTCTAGCTATTTGTCATTATGTGGCTTTCTTATGGAACTGAACTTCATGTGATTTAACTAAAGTTTGTGTGGCTTTTGTTACCCTGTTAAATTGTTTACATGATAAATGCTACTCTAACTGAAACCAAACTTTCTTCAGATACCTAACCTTATGCAAATGGAAAATAACCCTAATTTCATTGATTCTCACCTCATAGATCTAAGCCCCAGATAGATGAACCCTCCCCGCAAATATTTCTGGAATATGCAAGGATGCCTCAGAAGAATGTTCACAGCAGACTACTCATGAAAGCCCAAAACTGGAAACAACACAAATATCCACAAACAGTAGGATGAATAAATAAGTGGCAGCAAGTTTACAATGGAATGAATACTATACAGCAGGGAGAATGAATGAATGATTGCTATATTGAATAAGATGGATGAATCTCATGGTTATAACGTTGAGTGAAAGAGGACAGACACAAAAGAAAGGGGGCAAAAAGAAATAATCTTTGATTCCATTGCTATGCAATTCAAAAAAACAGGTTTTAGAAGTCAGGACAGTAATTGCCCTCTGGGGCAACCAACTAAGAGGGAGCATGAGAGAGCTTATGCAGTGCTGGTGGCATTCTGCTTGTTGATCTGGGCACAGGCCACCCTGGTGTGCTTGTTTTGTGAAAATTCTTCAAGCACTACACTGTGATTTGTATCCTTTTTAACGTATATGGTGCCAGAATGAAAAGTTTGCTTAAAATAATAATAACCATTGCACAAAATAAACTGGAAATATTTGGATAAGAATTACAAGGTTTAACTATGATATTTGTGAGTAATGTTGTTACTGATAAATCTACAAAAAGAAATTACAGACAAATGGAAGTGGTGCTATAAAGAATACCTCATAATGATGACTGATAAGAGCAATGACAAACTTAGAATGAAGTATTTTATTATATTTTATTTATTTATTTATTTATTTATTTATTTATTTATTTATATTTAGAGACAGGGTCTTGCTGTGTTGCCCAGGCTGAGACTCTAACTCCTGGGTTCAAGGGATCCTTCCACCTTAGGCTTCCAAGTAGCTGAGACTACAAGGGCATGCGCCACTGCTCCTGGCACATTCTTTATTATATTTAATAGTTTTGTTCAGAAAGGAGACGTCCGAGTAGTTTAAAAGACAACTTTACATTTATTTTTAAATGTGTGCAAATATTTTCAAGTGTGCATGATTTGATGTTGTAATTTATTAAAACTCATATACAATACTGGAATCTTACCCTATAGGTTAAAAATATAACAAAAGGCAACTTTAATTTCAAGTGAAATTTCCATTGATAATACAAAACTAAAAGTATGCTTACTATTCACAAAATACATAGAAGAGACAGTATTCCCACAGTTTGCTTGGGAAACAAGTCACACTGTGGACTTACGTCATCACAAGTGAACCCAGAATTTACAACCTCTAGCCTTGTTGTAAAACCTAACTCTGGTATTTCCTTCAAAAAAGTGAGCAGTGCGTGTTTCCTTTATTGAACAAAGGTATTCATTCATTTTCTGTAAGACTATTACATTCACTATTTTTTTTTTTGTTTTTTTGTTTTTGTTTTTGTTTTTGGACACAGTCTCGCTCTGTTGCCTAGGTTTGAGTGCAGTGGCGCGATCTCGGCTCACTGCAAGCTCCGCCTCCCGGGTTCACGCCATTCTCCTGCCTCAGCCTCCCGAGTAGCTGGGACTACAGGCGCCCACCACCAGGCCCAGCTAATTTCTTTTTTTGTACTTTTAGTAGAGACGGGGTTTTGCCGTGTTAACCAGGATGGTCTCGATCTCCTGACCTCGTGATCCACCCGCCTCGGCCTCCCAAAGTGCTGGGATTACAGGCGTGAGCCACCGCGCCCGGCCTCCACTCACTCTTTAGAAAGATGATTTGTTGTCAATATAAGCAGGTAGTGCTGTGAAAATGAGACAGCATTATAATCCTAGTTATGCTGTAACCAGATTTACAACCAGAATTCAGGATCAACCAATTTGTATGATCATTAATCATATTCTTTCAGAAATAGACACATTGTTTCTGGTTGTATTTCAGAAGAAAAACAGAGAAGCCATTCTACCTTTGGGCAGGGGTGACTACAGGACTTGAGTGTGTATAAATTTTGGTAAATGCAGGGGTCCTGGAACCAATCCCTGGAGTATACCAAGGGATGATGTAGTTTTCAATCAAGCAAGACATTCTCAATTGGGGACCTGGGTATCACTTTTCTCTAGAAATGAAGCACAACTTCATTCACTCCAGTGTAATATATATGGGAAAAGTCCCCAGGACCAAAGCTTGTGTTATATATAATACCTAGAAAATTGTTGGCACTCAGGAAAAAATAAATTAAAAAAAAAGAAAATATATAAAAACTTTTGGTCAAAAAAACCTGTATTTTCCAGTATGTACATTCCAAACAAATGTTTTTATATTGAGTTTATTTAGAAAGCTTTGTCTTTAAAAATGCACTTTAAACATAGACTACTATAGGCAGTTCAATTTTTAGAGTTTTTTTTTTAAGTGGTCAGAGTTCAGTAAAATATTACTTACTTTACATACTGCTAGAATTTTTGAGAAAAAAATATAAACTCATTTTAATCATCATGGTTATATAAGCACATCAAAAAATTTTTCACTCAAAATAACACTGTTTTTATGTCAGATTTTATGTAGATCATACCTATATATGCCTCCATGCAATGATCATTTCTATAGACTAAGATAATTAAAACTGAATTTTTAAACAAAATAATCTGTCATATAGTTTTCTTTGATCTCAGTTGTGATCCATGATTATTATCATATCAAAAAAATGACTTTTATAAACCATGAAAATCTCTTTATTATTTCATTTGTCTTCATCAATGTTTCAAAATACATTGGCCTGGTTCTGTAGCTTTTAGTTAAACCATTTCCAGGATCAAAGAGATCCTCAATTCTGGTTACATGTAATAACACTTCACTATTAGATACTAAGCAAATTTGCATTTTTAAAACTCCAACTTATTATCCAAAGTTATTTTCAAAGGCTTTTATTGATAAATGCATTAATAATTTTATTTCAGCATTTACTCAATGTGACCTTACATGGTGATCAGTGCAGCGCATGGATATCCAGGTTAGTCAAAAATTGATTTTTCTTTATGATTAATCATTCATGACTCACCTGACCACAGAGACTGTTGGGTCAGCACTCACTCTGACTGAACAGAGACATGCCAGTACCCATGTGAACATTATTAGCAAATCTGTGACGTGGATCAGCAGCGTATTATAACACCAGCTTATCCTGGACGCTGCCAAATCGTCTGAATAATTCTCACCATTTTGCACATGTTAGGGGTAAGGTGTTTATTTTATAAATAAATCCTAGAAACAGTCTTAGTGGTTCTCTTTCAATGGCTTAATAGAAAAAATAATGAGTGTTTCGAGTCTGAAGAAATAGTCAATGCAGAAAATGTTTGCATAGGAGGATGTTAGTGAGGAAGTTTTGTCTTGTGTTCCTTGCTCATAGAGACCTCCTGAGCCCACTTTCAGGATGCAAGTGTACGCATAGCCTGTGGAAGCAAGGGGAAAACAAAGTGTTGATACAACTGAATTCTCCTTAAGTCTGCATTATCTTTTTTATAAATATGTTTTTATAGTATTGGTTGCTTACTGTTACTCATCTTAGGTGTACAGCATCACAATAGAAATAGGGTAAAAACTTAGTTTTGTATTCATTATAATTTTTTTTTTTTTTTTTTTGAGACTGAATCTCACTCACTGTTGCTCAGGCTGGAGTGCTGTGGCACAATCTCAGCTCACTGCAACCTCCACCTCCCAGGTTCAAGCAATTCTACTGCCTCAGCCTCCCAAGTAGCTGGGATTACAGGTGCCCACCACCACGTCTAGCTAATTTTTTTTTTTTTAGTAGAGATGGTGGTGGGGTTACCATGTTGGTCAGGCTGGTCTCAAACTCCTGACCTCAAGTAATCCATCTGCCTTGGCTTCCCAAAGTGCTGGGATTACAGGATTGAGCCACTGAGCCTGGCCTGTATTCATCATACTTTAATTGGATTTAATTAAGAGCAATGATTACTGTTTATTGAGCACTTACTATGTACAAGGCACTGCTCTTGTTACTTTACATGTATCCTTTAAGTTTCACAACTCTGTGGTATTATTACTACTTTCCATGAAGATACTAATATGAAGACAGGATAAGTAATTTGCCCTGGGGTGCACAGATAGTAAGTAGCAGAATGAGGACTAGCACCCAGGTCTGTCTGGTTCTAAAGTCCATGCCCTTGAAATCATTGTGCTATATTGTTTCACCATCAACAGAAACCCTCCCTGAATGATTCTTTTATGTGGCAACCAATAAATATCCTATAATAAAGCAGTCTTAAGTTCTAATTTTGACATATGAGTTTTTACTCAAACTAAGGCTGCCCTATATCCATAGAGTCATAAATTACAAGAGCTAAAAGGACTTCTCAGGTCAATAATGACTTTCCTGGGCTCACTAAGCTAGTGGGCCAACATGCAGGTACTGTGATTTCCACTCTAGCAATGTATTTCCTCCACAAAAATCTCTGCCTGTCATCCTTACTGCCTGATTTCACTAAAGGGGGTTGGATGTTTTTCTTTGCAACATTTTTTCAAGACCTAGAAAAAGGCAGAGAAGGCAGGTTTATCAGATTTGATTATGACACTAGGTAGGGGATAGTAGGGTAGACAATATCCTGGATGATAGATCAAAACACGAAACTGGCCAATGCGGTGGCTCGTGCCTGTAATCCCAGCAATCTGGGAGGCCAAGGTGGGTGGATTACTTGAAGTCAGGAGTTCAAGACCAGCCTGGACAACGTGGCAAAACCCTGTCTCTACTAAAAATACAAAAAAAAAAAAAAATTAGCTGGTCATAGTGGCGAGCGCCTGTAATTCCAGCTACTTGGGAAGATGAGGCACACATGATAATCTCTCAAACCCGGAAGGGAGAGGTTGCAGTGAACTGAGATTGTACCACTGCACTCCAGGCCAGGTGACAGAGTAATACTCAGTTGCAAATAATAATAATAATAATACAAAATTATGTCAGTAAACAAGAACCAACAAGATGCAATCTCAGAAATAGGTGTAGTTCTGTATTAGGGTCAAAACTCAATTAAATAAATATAAGTAGGGAACTCTATTAGACCATAGTTTGTATGAAAATGCCCCAGTCTTTAGTTGGCCCCTGCTCAATAGAAGCCAAAATTCTGATGTTGCTATTAGGAAAGGAAACACATTTTTAAGCTATAGTAATAGAATATCTTGATGAGATCAAGGTAGGTCATGGTTGAAAAATCTCCATGTTGGCCTGACCATATTTAGGGTTTTTTGTCCCCATCGTGACCAGAGAAGCATTGACTGCATGTTTGCAAGGAATAGAAGAAACAAGAAGAGTCTCAACTGGAAGACAGTCTGCTGGAGACATGAGAACTATTCTCAAATATTTGAAGGGCTGTTCAGTGGGAAGGTTTGTATTGCTAAGGAAGGCAGATCTCAATTCATTAGGTGGTTACTACAGAAAGGCCAAATTCAGTTTTATAAGCGCAAGTAACCTTTAGAGACTTCCAACCATGTAACAAACTCCCTTGAGAAGCCACTAGTGGCCAATGTCTGGAAATGTTCACCTAAAAGCTGAATGAACATTCATCAAGGATGGTGTAGGAAGGATTTCTGCATGGGCTGGAATGTTAGATTACTTGATTCTCAGAAATCTTTCAACTTTTTACAATTCTGTGATCTTCCTTCAGTGTTCACCTCTTACCCAGTGGTGAAGCTGCAAATTTTACTCAGATGCTACAAGTTCAGGCAAGTTTCCTAGGAATAGTCTGATGTCACAAGAGCATCTGAAATACACAGAATCAGTCTAAGGTGGGGAGAGTATGTTTTTAAAGCCGTTAGTCATATGAAGGAAGGTCATAGGGTTTATGTTCCTCACAGACTATTCCTGAGGCTTATAAAATTCCTGGTGTATAATTTACCTCTATTCATTATTTTCCTATCGCATGGCCTTCCATCTCTGGAAGAGCAGGATGCGGAGCTGTAGGCAGCAAATCAGGAGCAGTGTGTTGGCTCTTGCCAGTTGCTGATCATCCCCAAATGCCTGGGACAAAAGCTCCCCAAATATTTAACGTCTTCAAGGGAGAATTCTTATTTTCTCTTCTTCCCTGCTATCAAGCCATCTTTTTTGCATTTGGGGGAATTATGTTCCCTGACAGCTCTTAATCAGATATATTCACTATTTGTATTACTCTAATTATTCAAAATGTAATCCAAATATTTTCTTCAGAAGAAAATGATCATACCTCATCCTGGACATCAAGTTCTTCTTCAGTCAGCTCTGTTTCAATTAATTCAAGGGTATCTTTACAGTCTTGAATGAGGGTGATCTTGAAAAAGAGAACATAGGGTGGAAATAGAATAGCATCAACCCACCTGATGCTCCACTGAAAATGATTTGAAGCTTTCCTAGGGCTTTTCATCTATCTTTACATACTTCAGAATCCTCTTCAGCTGTCTTGTTCTTTTATGTTTCCCAACTAAAGATTTTTGTATATCATTTTTTTGCACATTCATAGGTGAACTGGTATAGTTCTCCATTGTCTAAACTCCTTTTCAGCTGTCTTCCCTAACCTCTCGAGTGTATGCCTCTTAACAAGTCACCCCCTCTGCCTAAATGATTCAGCAGTCAACAGTGCATCTCTCAATGGCTAAGCTAAGAGCACTTAGCACAGCATTGAGTGTGCAATGAATGCCCATTGAAGAGCTTGTGACTGATGACAATAAACAGTCACAAATGGAATTGGATGGAAATTAATTCTATTGGAGATGGAAACCAATGTCTATGGACTAATTTGGTTATTTAGAAAAGTTCTACTTTTTAGAGGTGGCAGGTAATTTAATCTTCTACACAGAGGAAACCTACAATTTTGGCTTTGTGTTTTGCATGGAAAAGGACATTTTCAAAGCAACTCCAAATATATATCCAGGATAAAATGACAGTTTGAAATGCTACTTAGCTACTTTTCAACTCACAAGTAGCCCAATTCTCTTTGCTAGTATGAGAATGAATTAGAGGGTTAAGTTCCTGTGCAAATGGTATGACATAATGGGAAAGGTGAAGGCTAAGTCTAACTACAAGTTGTGTCCTGAGATAGTCCTGTGATGGTAAAATAAAGGGATAGGAAGAGGGTTGTGTCATTGCAGTCACAGTATGTGTGATACAGAGGGACTCTTCTTGAAGGAAAGTACCACAGGTGAGGTTTATCGTCATTCACCTACTTATCACATATACAGCTTTGTGCTAGACTCTGAGAAGACACAGAAATATGAGCCTCTTGATCTTACAGGCCACCAGGAATGTCCAACCCACTGTTTAGTAGACCAGTAAGTATATAATACAAGCATTCCATTATGCTTAGTCTATTTGTTCAGGGTCCAAAAAAATCCATCCCAGTCACTCACAATGCCTCCCGGATTGCAAACAAAATTGAGTCTAACCTAGTAGGTACACTCTTGGTTAGTGGTTTTTATGACATTCATGACCTAACATCTTAGTAAGAATGGGTATAAACAAACAAAATAACTGTTTTCATGTTGAGAAAGAACTTGATACCTTGGTTCCATTTTACTTTTAATTTGGGTCTCTTAAAGATACTTCATATGATCCTGCTTTCTTATCACCTATGGGTTAGAGAATTTTAAGTTGGATAGAAAAAGGTTTATGAATTTTCAATGTTAAACAGTTTTTTTTCCTTTAGATTTGTAGCTTTACTCTTTTTTTTTTTTTTCCTTTTTTGTTTTTAAGATCCACAGCTTGGTAGTTAGGACTAGTATTTTACCAAGGAACACTAAATAGAACAATCTCTCCACTGCCAGTGCCTAAAAAGAATAATATAATATCGTTTCCTAAGTTGGTTTTCTTCAATCAACTGCCAATCTACAATAAGGATGTACTTATTCTATTTTTAGAAAAATGGGAAGCAATTAAAAATATCCACTATGACACTGGAATCATTATCGTTATTATATCTTGATAGGTATTTGCTTTAATTTCCTAAGTTCACCATGAGAAATGAGATTCTTGTACCACCAAGCACATCGTTAGGCCAAGCCCAATGAACCAGACCAGAATGCTCACTTCTTCTGGGTATTTGACAGAAAAACTAACAAAATAATACCCATAGGAAATCAGGGCATATTCTGGAGCCAGACGCACTACTGTTGTGCCACGAGGCCTCCCATCAGGGCCTATTCTATTTTGTAGGGAAAAAACCCTGGGCTTATCTGTGGCTTGATTTTTTAATTGCTTTTGCAAAGATCGCTTATGGCCTGATGGATCCTGTTTAAAGACATTTATAATTCAAGGTTTTCCAGATTGCTGAGAATTTAAGTGGAATTTATGTGCACAAATCACAGATCACAGAAGATCAAAGATTCAATATTCTAAAAAGGCATTATAGCTAATGCCCACTTTTATTAATAAACCTACACATTGTAGAACTATTAAGTACTGGGTACTACCAGGTAATTTCCTATAAACTATCTTATTTAGTCTTCATATCTACCTAGCAAAGTTAATGTTTTTACTTCCATTTTACTGATGAAAAAACTGAGGCTCCAAGAAGTTATATAGATAGCTTAAAATTCAACAGCTAGACTAGATTTGTGTAATGTTTGCCATTTATAGAAATCATGATAGTTTAGAAAAGATACATCTGTAGAAAGATTGAATATTTACCGTTTCTAAAATGGAATCTTGACCCTCTTGGCATTTCACCTGGTTCTGTAGATAGAGTATAGCATCATGGACTGTCAAAAAGAATGTGTCCTTTCTAATGTTGTCGTCAAAGAACCCACATTGCTCCAGCTTTTCTATCACATAATCTTCAAAAGAAAGACACAATGTTTTGTTAGTTCCTAGGAAAAGAAATCTTTTGTTTGTTTTTGAGACAGAGTCTCATTCTATTGCCCAGGCTGGAGTGCAGTGGCACAATCATTGCTCACTGCAACCCCCACCTCCCAAGCTCAAGTGATTCCCCCCACCTCACCCTCCCAAGTAGCTAGGACTACAGGCACACCACATCATGCCCAGCTAAGAAAAGAAACTTTTAAGCATCAACCTATACTAAGTTTCTGTAGCTCTTCCTTTTGTTTATTTATTTCTCTTGTATCCAAAATGTGACCCAGCTTTGAAATGACAGTTTCTTTTCCAGTAGCATATAGAATGGTTATCCCATAACTGGTCGTAGTCAACCTTGGTGCACGATCATGTCACTTTGGCCAAGCCAGTGTATTCATCCTCCTCCTACTGTGGGCCAGGTTGCTAACATTTCACAGCTGTGCCTTTCTCTGGAGACTTTCTCTTGCTCACTGGGAGCTGTGTCATCTAAAGAGGACTGGGCCTGTAATTCCAGCACTTTGAGAGGCCGAAGAGGGTGGATCACTTTGAACCCAGGCATTCTGGGCAATATGGTGAAACCCCAGCTCTACAGAAAAAAAATACAAAAACTAGCCAGGTGTGGTTGTGTATGCACCTATAGTCTCAGCTACTCTGGAGGCTGAGATGGGAGGATCACTTGAGCCCAGGAGTTTGAGGCTGCAGTGAGCCACGATTGCACCACTGCACTCCAACCTGGGTGACAGAGCAAGACCCTGTCTCAAATAAATAAGTAAATAAAGAGAAGTGGGAGGTTTCATCCCCACGCATGGCTGGCCTGCAGCCACTGACTGACTGATATTGGGGGAGAAAGCAGGTCCCCTTGTCTTAAGGAGGCATAACCTTCTGGTGCTGTTCCTGTGGTGGTGCTCCCTGTGAAATCAGGAATCTATGCTGGACTTCAGAAACCATGTCTTTCACCAGCTTCTTCCCCTTCCCTATCCTGCTCCCCTCACTGCTTCATAAATTTCCTCAGGTGTACTCTCAATAAATCACTTGCGCAAGAATCCCCATCTTGGGCTCTGCTGCTAGAGAATTCAACCTAAGCATTAGCACTTCCTACGCACATACATTCATAAAGAGACAGACACAGAGACTCACACACTTGAGAGTCCTCCTGTTGCAAGGAATCTAAGTAATCCCCAGCTTTGCTCTCCTCATAACAATATCCCCCCATTGTCAATATCCACCCCACCCCCACCCATTGTCAAGACACACATTTCCATACATTACCAGCTCTATGGCACAAATTGGAAGTAATATCTTTCTGGGTTTAAAAATGTTCTCAGAGTTTTTATGCTTTTTGTTTTGTTTTTGTTTTTTAAATAATAATAAAGATGGGGTCTCACCATGTTGCCCAGGCTGGTCTCAAACTCTTGACCTGAAGTGATCCTCTGACCTTTGCCTCCCAAAGTGCTGGGATTACAGATGTGAGCCGCCATGCCCGGCCTATTTATTTATTTAAATCTTAACTCTAGCTTGGCAATCGGAGGTTATTTAAAGGTTGTTTCTAAATATGGACTTAGGAAGGAAATCAAAACAAGGCAGAAAGGAACCAGTAGGTGGGAAAGATGTGGGAAAAAATTTACAAGTATGAAGATATAAAGAAAATTGAAAAGAGAGTAATTTTTTCTTTTGTATAGGAGAAAACCTTATATGGTCAAAATGATACGGAGAAAAGAAAAGTAAATCTTTGTCCTAAGGTACAATGCCAATTTTAAAAAAGGAAGTATAGGACAAAATGAAGGTTTAAGCAAGTTGTAGAAGGTTTGTAGAAGATGAATATCATGAAAAATTTTATGTGATTGAGTTGGCTAAAATTAGAAGGGAATCATTTATAAGTTTTATAAGTTCAATAAAAATTGAGCATTAATATTAAAGTACACTGATGGAAGGCTAAAGTTTTGGCCCACGTGTTGGAACAATAGAGTTTTCTCAGAGGATTGGTTTGCTCTTAATAGAAAATTGTGAGAGGATTTTCTTTATCTTCTAGGTAACTGGCCTAGAAAACAGGGATTTCATGTTTCATCAAGATAACTCTTCTTGTGCTTTGTGCCTTTGAACTCTTTTGTCACTTTGGTTTTATTTCATAGTGACCTATGATCCTATTTTGATCAAATGTTTTAAACCTTCGGTATTTGACAAACTTCTCAAAAATCAAAATTAAGTTTTTTTGACCTTGAGCTAACTTTGGGATGTTCCAGAGGACCCTAGAATTTCTTAAAGAATCTGTAAAGGAGAGATGTTAAACCAAGTGGCCTTATGTTAAATTATATGAGAAGCACTGTTAAAATAAGAAATGATGTTTAACCTTCTTTGAGCTATATTTATATAGATATGGTATTAATATGTTCCAAAATTATATAACATTCCTAGAAATGTGATATGTCTTGGTATAAATGCTATCAGTCATAATTTTGGTTATTTTAAATTGTTGTGTGCCACAGAAATAACCAAATATCCTTGTCAACTGGGTAACTCACATCAGATCTTTAAATATAGCCACTTTAAGTCTTGTTGTCCACAGTTAATTGTTTTGTTCCGATACTTTTTCTGAAAGCTCTTTGTAAGCCATTGTAATTCTAAAGTGCTGTGACTTCAAAGAGTCATATGGGAAGAATGAAAAGAACTCTGACAAATACAAGTTTCTAATAACTTTGAATTCATACCATTCAATGGAATTAAACTGCCAGCCAAGATCAAACAGAGCAAGAATTAATTACATGAGACTGAATGAACTGATGAAGAAGAATTATGGGTTTTATGGCTTTTTTTATTTGAAACATTGCTGGTTCTTTTAATATTTGTTTTCAAGATTTAAAGAAAATTTTTCTGTAAAGCTATCTGTAGTTTACAGCCACTTGGTTAAGCATACTTTTTTTTTTTTTTTTTTTTTTTGAGACAGGGTCTCACTCTGTCACCCAGGTTGGAGTGCAGTGACGTCATCTGGGCTCACTGCAACCTCCGCTTCCCCAGCTCAAGTGATTCTCAGCCTCAGCCTCCATGCCCAGCTAATTTTTTGTATTTTTTGTAGTAACGGGGTTTTGCCATGTTGCCAGGCTGGTCTCAAACTCTGAGCTCAAGGCAATCACCTACCTTTTCCTCCCAAAGTGCTGGGATTACAGACGTGAGCCACAGCACCCAGCCTGGTTAAGCATACTTTCATAAACAAAATTTGAAACATTTGCTTTTCCTCTCTACCTGATCCTTCCAGTATTTGGAAACTCTTTGTGAGTGTTCTTATGTTTCTGGCAATATGATTATTTACATAAAAGTTCAATAAGAATCTGTTCTTTTAAATAGAATACAATTGGAAAACATTGGTTATATTATCAAGGCTTTGACTAGAATATCATATTTGAAAATGTGCACAGAATTCCTGGCTTCAAGGGCTCCTAGCCTTACAGTGAGTGAATAAAAAGTTGTTCCTTCCCGGGAAGCCCAGTAACTTCAAGATATTAGATATATCAGGCAAAGTCTAATGTCTGCCTTGGTTTAACTTCATAGCATCAAGAAGTTTTAAAAAGTCCAATCTGAGATTCCTTGTCAAAATTTCCAGCAAAGCAATTATTTTTTGGAGACATGGTCTCACTGTGTTGCCCAGGCTATAGTGCAGTGGCTATTCACAGGCACAATCATAGTGCACTGAAGCCTTGAATTCCTGGGCTCAGGCAATCCTCTCACCTCAGACTCCCAAATAGCTGGGATTGCAGGCATGCAACACCTCACCTGGCTTGGCAAAGCAAATTTAAAACGAGTCACCCATGTAGTTATTCTTGCTGCACTGTGTAAATAATCAATCAGACCAAGTTTGAGACCAAACTTATTTTGTAAACAAATTGGTCTACCATGATTGTCTTTGATAGAAATGGAGGTGACTATAGAAAGAAAAACATATGGTTCAAAAGAAAAGCATAGTAAAACTGTTCTTAGACTGTAGCCCTGTTCAATGTTTATGAGTGTTTATTATCTACCTGTAGACTGAACTGGATTCTTAATTCTTTTAGCTTTCACTAATATCTGGCTATAACACTCCAATGAAGACCAATAACTACTCAATTCCTGAAGCTCTATAAGTTGAAGCTGAACAACTCAGCATACATTTTAAGAGGTGACTCTCATGCTTAAACTGTGGGCCACAGAGAGAGTTCACCAGAATGCTGTATGCCACAACTAGAGACAATAAAACTACAAACCAAAACGAGAAGTCGCCAACTTCATGTTGTAGACAGCTCCAAGACTGTCAGAACAAGACTCCCTATCATAGATTCTTATCCCTTTTAATTTTCCCTTCTTGTGCCTACCTCTTTCACTTGGCAGGATAGTGCTGTAGTTAAAATTTCACAGTCAGTAGCTTCTTTGGGTAACTTACACTTTCTGCTTTAATTTAAACCAGTCATGGAATGCTAGATTACCTGCTAACTCAACAAGGAAGCATCTGTGCAGTTGGTGACACTTCTTGTTGCACATATATAAATACATCAGGTAACTTGGTTAAAACAGGTATACTGCTTGTCAGGCTATTCAATTTTAGTTGGTTTGGTTCATGGGAACCCTGGCTAAGGAGCATACTATAAACCCTTGGTGTTATCATCTCAATAGTCATAATAGCAGGTACGTTATACCCTCTCAAAGTTTTAAATGTTTCCATATAGCCACCTGTCAGACATCAAATGGTTTCTCTCTGAAACAACAAAAACTCAGAGAAATGCATGATAATGAGGAGGGCACCATAAGCTATACATGACCTCCTGAGACCAGAAACCCAAAATAATGGTAACAGAGTAGCACTGATCTCCTGCATTTTGTTCAGTCTTACCTAGGTGAGAGCCTGATCAAACGGGGGGAAATCATCAAATAAAAATGGTAAAGGCCGTTGTCTTAGTCCCCTTGAGTTTTGCCCTCCCAGAGCTTTGCAGCTTCTAGTACCCAGAATGAAGGAGTAGAGCAGCCTTCGGTGGCTCAAGCAGCTGTGCCCATCCTGGGGTCATGCAAGACACAGGCATATAGTAAAATAAAAAATAGAAATAAAAGGCCATTGTTTTAGACTAAGCTCCTGCACTAGGCCCCAACAGACAAGACTAAAAATCAAAATGGAGTCACTCATGCTAAAGTTTCAAGTTATCCAACCTAAACTAAATTGTTATCTGACCTTTGAAGAAATCAGGAGAGAGGGGTAAGAGCAAATTTCCCAAAACAGCCAGTTTAAATTTCCAGGTGGCATAATAAAGCTTTCTCTGCAATAATCCTCATACAAAAAAGTATCCTGCCATGACCTCAAGTTAACTAACCCATTATTTTCCTATTGTTCTGTCTCACTGTCTCTGACTTGCAAGAAAAGTAACTTTGAATGGACTAATATACTCTTTGTTTTTTGCTTTTGCTGTCTTTGGCCTTTTCTGTCTATAAAACTGACCTCTTCCGCTTAGTTCCTTGGAACACTTATTCTGTTTTATGGAATGAAGCATTGCCAGATTCTAGAATTGCAAATAAATGCAATTGAGATCTTTAAAAGAAAAAAAAAAGGCCTTTAGATATAATGTGCCCACAGTCCCAGGTAGGAGAAAAGGCTTAGGGGAAAGTCTTACAGGTAGATATGTAGATATATGTATTTACCTTGAAGTGATGCAAAATACACATTCACATCAATTCTTTGGAATTCTTTGACAATCTAAAAATAAAAAAGGAGAGTTTGTAACAATTAATAACCTTATCTGCCCAAAATTCAGTAGCATTCAGTTACTTGCTCAGGAGAAACATCATTACTTTCATGGTTAATCAGGACTTTAAGGAAAGGTTATAATTGCAAAACCATGGAGGTTTTCAACCTACAGTAATGGTATAATTAGGATGAGATCTCAAGAGATGGCAGCATCCAGCGCTCAATAGCACAGCACTTGATAGCATGGAGGTGCTAAATAAATATTTGTGGAAAGAAGAGAGTACAGGAGGCTTCTTAATATAGGCCCTGCTGATTGGAGAAGAGATATGGGTGTGGCTATGCTCATCGGGTTCAAAATGTTACAACTGACCTAAAAGTCAAGGCCTCTACTTTGAATGTCAGTGTCCTGATTGTGATTTCATGCTACAGTTTTACAAGGTGTTACTCATTGGGAGAAACTGGGTAAGGGGTACATAAGATCTAAATATTATTCCTTAAAACTACATGTGAATTTACAATTATGTTAAAATAAACATTTAATTTTAAAAAGTCAAGACACAAGACCCTTGGTCAATAATAAAAGAGAATTTGAGAATTATGGAGGAACACAAATTAAGACTTCTGTTCAAGTATAAAGTTTGGAGTCTTCTTTAGCTATCATAATATTTGACAGTAAATATTTGTTGTGTGGGAAATATTCTGGCATTAAATATGTTAAGACTCTCCCCAAAAGTAATTCATTAAACTCTCTGGCCAATACAATCTACAATGGATCTCAGCCAATGCTTAGAGTGAAATGTACAACAAAGAACAAGAGTGTTTTCAAATGAGCTAATAACAAAATCTGCTAAGAGAACTAGAACAGAATCTGTCAGCATATTCTCATACTCTTTTGCCAAGCACAATCACTTCTCTACCTTACCTACCTAGTACACACATCCTGGAATCATTTCCTCCCCTTACAGAGGTAGCAAAGAAGCCCTAGCTAAGCTGAACCTCAGTTAGGAGTCAGCTTTGTATTATTACATCTGATTGTTGGTGTCTTGACCTGCTTACTTTTCTGCCTGACCCTCTTGATACCTACCTGAAGCTTCACCTAAACTTGATGCTTCAGGTGATGTTCTACTCATCTTCCTTGGAGCACTTACTACAGTTGTTATTTAGAAGATGACTTAATGTTTGCCTTCTCCTCTAGACTGCTAGTCCCACGTAGGTAGAAACTGTGCCTACTTCATCACTAGTCTCTTGTGCCTGGCAGAGTGCTTAGCACACATTAGGCATTTCACATCTATTTGTTGAAAGAATTAATGATCTTCAGCTTGCATAACTGGTTTCTGATATCATTAATGTTTCTATCCTGCATACTTCTCAACTCTTGCTTTGACTTTCCAGATGCCTGACCTGCTTCCTACTCTAACCTCTTAATAATGCCTGGTTTTTCCAGTCCTACCATACACCTGGTATTCCTTATCCTGTTGCTGTTAACATAACAAATAGAAATGTAATACTTGACAAACTTTTGCCCATTTTTTCTTCTTTTCATATTCCATGTGCTATACATTCTCAGAAAGATAAAACATAATAAATGTGAATTAATTTGCTGGGGAGTATCTTTGAACCAGATTTTTTTTTTTTTTTTGAGACGGAGTCTCACTGTCGCCCAGGCTGGAGTGCAGTGGCACAATTGTAGTTGCAACCTCCGCCTCCAGGGTTCAAGCGATTCTCCTGCCACAGCCTCCTAGCAGCTGGGACTTTGTATTTTTGGTAGAGAGGGGTTTTCACCATATTGGCCAGGCTGGTCTCAAACTCCTGACCTCATGATCAATCTGCCTCAGCCTCCCGAAGTGCTTGGTTACAGGCGTGAGCCACCACGGCCGGCCTGAATCAGATACTCTTCTAAACACTTTTTATCTATTAGCATATTTAATCCTTGTAACAACTTATGAAGGTAGATACCACCATTACCTCCATATTACAGATGAAGAAACAGATACAGACAGATTAAGCAACTTGCCCAGGGTCATACTGCTAGTAAGTGGTGAAGCCAGTATCTACCCCAGGTAGTCTGGTTCCAGAGGCTATGCTTTAAAATGTTACACTTTTTTACAAAAGCATTCACCTAGAAAAACTACAAAGCCCATATATTTGCCCTTTTGCAATACTGGACAACCCACATCATTTTACTATTGCCAAAGCTCCGAATGTATAATTCAGGAAACCAGAACCTTACCACCCTCAGTGACCTCACTCCAACAACGTCCAGGAAAGATATAGCTCCACAGTCAAGCACGAGGCTATGGATGGGCACTTTGGGAACGTTCACTTTGACTGGAAGCTCAGAGTTCCAATCCACTTGAATCTCTATTTCTTTGGTTGGGGTATCAAGTTCCTCCGGATCTTCAATATCTTCATCAGGCTCAAAAGCATTATTTGTTGAACCAGCATCACTTATGATGCCATTCTAAACAAAGAAAACACTGTCAACTTAATTGTGAAAGATTTGAAATGTCTTTCAACCATTCATATCAAATTATCCAAAACTCCTACACACGGTTCCTTGGTAAGCAAAACATCAAGGAGATGAATTCTTAAGGATGAGTTTCACCTCAGCCCAAACTTTGATGTTGTCTAGGAAGAAAACTGGGAGAACAGAGGAGCCAGGAAACTTGTTTTCTGGAAGATTGTAGAACTTTGCTAAGAAATACACTGGCCAGAGAGTCTGAGTAAAAGTTAATAGCTCCAAAAGTTTATGGACTTACTGCCTTCTCTGGTGGGTAGTTTTCTGGCATTGAATTTGCTCTTATTTTGTTTCTTTCAGTAAAAATAAAGTATAAAAAATAATGCAGATGCTCTTCACGGTGAGGGAAAAAATCACATCCTGTGTTTCCAGGCAGTGCTGCTGATTTTATTTCATTCCCTTCCACTCCCTCTTGCCTATAAGAATAGCTCAGTTGTTCTTTGACACGTACATGTCATTTGTTCATTCACATCTGGATACTAAAGGGGATAGATTTAATTTTAGACCATCTAACTGCTCTCATCAGGGAAAGGAAAGAATTTAAGGGGGAAAAGAAAGATGTTGTCTCACCTTTGTTGCTCTTAATTGTCCATTTTTTATGAGTTTCTGTATTTTCCTCAGTGCTTTCAGCCTCTTATTATATACTCTAATGGCATCAAATCCAACCTTTGGAAATAAATGTCAAGTTACTTAAAATGCCTGGCACCTAAAGCTTGCTGATGGCCACTGTTATCTGTTATCTGGAAAGGCTATTTCTCAAAGGGTATAATTCCTTGAGATATCCTGCCAAAACAGAAATTGTAAGGTCTGGCGGAGTACATCTCTGTCTACTCCCAGGCTACCCTACTCCTACTCAGAAGCTCAGGGAAGACAGTAGTATATTAAAGGCACCAAGACAGTAAAAGACAAAACAGGAAAAAAAAAAAAAAAAAAAAAAAACCACCAAAAACCCTCTTTAGCTTTAAGTCTGGGTTTTCCAAATTCCCTTGGTATCACAGAGCCCTTTTGTTATTGCAAAATCTGTGAACATTCCTCTGAATCAGTTTGCCCTGGAACTCACTTAGAAAAACACTGATTTAGAGGCAAACTCCAAGTTCAAAGCATAGCATGGCGTTCAGTACCAGAATTTTCTACTTACTTATTCCAATAGTATTTTTTACTTTTTGCTGCAACTGGGCAACGCTACCTCCGATATCTGTTTCCACTGTCTCTCAGCTCACATAGTTCTCAAACAATTGACATGATTTCTTTCCTTCCACCAACTGCTGCACAAAGCCTGTTAGTCCAACTAACCTGGATCTCTTCCTTCTATGAACTCTCAACTGTCTATACTACTTCTTTGGAACTTACTCAAATTCTGCCTAGAAACGTCTCTAATGTTTTTATCTGGCATAGTTATTACTACCTGGATTTTAACATATGTGTTTTTTAATCCCCAAATAGACTGTATATTATTTGAAGGCAAGGATGTTATATTTTAATTCTCATCGCCCTACACAAAGGGAAGAGGGTCTAGGGCCTATTCCTGGTTGGAGCCCTATAAATACTTGTAGAATGAATGAAGTCTCAAAAGAGGTTAGAAAACAAATTTCTAGTGATAAAATACTTACTGTGGACTTGATACATTTTTTAAAACCATCAACATTGCCATAGAAAATAGGACTGGAAAATCTAAGAATCTTCACTCCTTGAGGTTCTTCAATCTGGCATTAAAAGAAATTGTCTGGGGTTAAATAATTTCAAGCCTCAAGTATTTCATTACATTTCTGGCTATTTAGCAAGGAGCCAGGTCACAGTTGCTCAGAGGAGCTGGGTAGCAGCACTCAACTTTTCTTTCTTTCTTTCTTGTTTGTTTGTTTGTTTTTGAGATGGAGTTTTGCTTTGTTGCCCAGGCTGATGTACAGTGGCACAATCTCGGCTCACTGCAACCTTCACCTCCTGGGTTCAAGTGATTCTCCTGCCTCAGCCTCCTGAGTAGTTGGGATTACAGGTGCTGCCACCATGCCCCCCTAATTTTTCCATTTTTAGTAGAGACAGAGTTTTACCACATTGGCCAGGCTGGTCTCAAACTCCTGACCTCAAGTGATTTGCCCGCCTCAGTCTCCCAAAGTGCTGGGATTACAGGAGTGAGCCACTGTGCAAGGCCTCTTCAACTTTTCTTGAATAGGGAGGCAACCTAGGAGGCAGCAGGTTACAAAAACTTTTGGACTTCTATAGTCTCATAAAAGGTCAAAGTTAGAAAGGGCCTTAGAAAGCAATTTATTCAACCCTTTGATTCCAGATGAAGAAACTGAGGCTTAGAACACTGCTATGATTTGCCTGAAGTTCATACCACTGACTCTCCTGATTTTGCTAACGTTCTTTAAAAGCAGCAAAGAAAAAAAAGCAAAATCAAGGGGATTTGTGGAACTGAGGCCTATGATATCATCTGCTGTTCTCACCCTGACATACAATGGCCACACCCAAAATATAACCCATGAATCATAGAATCATAGACTTTCTAGTCTTCAGGAATCAGCAATTTTAGTCTAGCAACTTCAGATGAGAAAACTGAGGTCCTGAGAGGCTGAATGACTTGGGCAAAGTCTCACCAAGATGGAGCCTAGAAGTCAGAATTCCCTAACTCAGCTTAGAGCTCCCTGCCCCAAAGCCAAAAACATCTCTAAATCATTTTAACGCTTAATGGCATTTGGCTCAACATAACATAAAGATCACGGAAATAAATTAAGTAGCAGCTACTGAAATCCCAGGTTCAATGTCCAACTTTTTTTTAATGTTAAGGTAAAATTAGACTACAACTTCGCAGGGTTCACATTATTATTATTATTATTTGCTAAATTTGTATTTTCTTAATTTACTTTCTCTGCTTTTTTATCTTTGTTTCTTCTAGTCATCACTAAGCAATTTTATTTGCAGGTGACACAAGTCAATCAATGGGATGTTTAATTTCTTTGTTTTTCATTTCTTGTGTCATATATTTTTTCTTCTAATTCCAGGGATAAAGTAAAGTATCAAATAATAAGGTCTTGGTCATAGAGAACTTGATAATCTCTTGTTAGAACTGAATAAAGAAAATCTTACAGAAGATGAGAATTATATACCAGATAAATACAATTTTGGATGAACATCTAGAAATTGCCTATTATTTTAAAATTCCTCTTACAATGGTTTTATATTAAAATGACATTCAGCTGACCAGGTGCGGTGGCTCACACCTGTAATCCCAACACTTTGGGAGGCCAAGACCAGCAAATCACTTGAGTTCAGGAGTTTGAGACCAGCCTGGGCAACATGGTGAAACCCTGTCTCTACTAAAAATACAAAAATTAGCCAGGCGTGGTGGCACCTGCCTGTAATCTCAGTCACTAGGGAGGCTGAGACAAGAGAATCACTTGAACCCAGGAGGCAGAGAGTGCAGTGAGCTGAGATCAGGCTGCTGCACTCCAGCCTGGGTGAAGAGACTCCATCTAAAAAGAAAAAGAAAAAAAAAAGACATTCAGCTAGCATGGATAAAATTCATATAAGACATGGATGTCAGAAGGCGCATTGGATCAAAAATTTTTGTGGCACCCCCTGTGGACTAACAGACTTTCCCAAAAGGTATTTCTCCCTTTGGCTACCTTGTACATAAAACAGAGCTGCTGAAATTTCAGGTTAGTAAACCCAAGTCCAGCAAATGTCTCACAAAGGTACTTACGTTTTTGTAATTCTTGGTACTTTTGTAGATATCTGTGCTAGGAATGCTTCCAAGGCCATTCCAAGAAGGACTAGAAGAAAAAATATCAAGGTCAAGATTTTTTGGAACAGCCATATTTTGGAATAAAAAGTTAAAAACAACAGCTACTAAAGAGCCCATCATTCTGGTGTTTTGGACTCTGTCTTTATTGCAGATGACATTTTCCTGTAGCTAACTCTGAAATGAACAGCTGGTGTTTGTGTGGAATCGGCAGGGGAGGGGAGAAACTGTGCCTCTCTTCTGATGGCTGAGAGAAATAATGAGCATCATACTTGCACGTGCACAACACGTTATAGGATAAGCAAAGAGCTTTCACACATGTGAAATCTTATTTAAGCCCTGCCATAACCCTGAAAGGTCATCAGTATTATCCTGATTTTTATTGTTAAGTAAACTTCTTAAGAGAAGTAAGAAAAGGTCTGGAGGCAAAGGGCAGCAGAGTCTCTGTCTTTAACCCCTTGGTCTTGCAGTGCCCGGCACTTCTTTGTGACTTAGTCATTTTTTATAGAAATAGGAGACTGGGAAGACCAGAAATAAGTCCTTCCTGTCAACCAGACTATTGATTTCCTGTTCCTGATGCAATCAGATAAATTCCGTGATTCTTCATGTGTGACTAGAGACATGCTCAATACAATTCCTGAAGAAAGAGTATCTGTTTAGTGTACTTTCAGCATTGTGCTCTCTGGATCAGCATGGTAATTACTGGAAATTAAATACTGTGGAGGATACTGCTTTTTGTTGGCTAAAAGCCTAGATACCAAACTAGCAGCTAAAATGTGCCACCAGTTTTTCCTTGGCTTGCAGGGTTGTGCTGATTTTTAACTTAAAAGTTCATAAACTAATCTGTCTCTGTAAAACCCTTCTTTTCCAACCACATCCACCCAAGAAAAAATAGATACTGAGCCGTATACAGCATGAGAGACAGCATCTTCTAAGGAGAGTTTCTGAGACGTGTCCTAGCAGCAAATTGGGCACTTTGGGAGCCTGCAAACCTTCTGGGGCCCTTGGGCAATCATTTAGGGTGCTGAGGTAGAAAACACAAGCCTTTTGGGTAGGCACCAATATGCCAAGGTAGGGAAGGAGGGCAGGAAGGAGAACTGACTGGTGGAACAGGAGAGGTGAGCTGATGCTAAGCTGAAGACACCTATCTTGATGTTTTTCCAGGTGTCTTCTTCTTTCATGGCCCAAGCACAGGCAGAGCAGGGGCCAGAAGTCTGAAAAGATGATGGACATGTTGAGGAGGGAGAGAGAGACTCTGTTCCCCTCTAGGCCCAGGAGGGCACTTAACTAACGCCTCTCTAGAATAAAAACAAAACCAACCAAAAAACCACCTTCAGGCTCCTCACCTTCCCTCACAGGCTGTTTTCCATTATTTAAATCATGTCTTTGCTGCCTTCACTCTGCATATGAGCTAATCGTTTCCTTCACATAATCGTGCGGTTTATTGGTTATATGCCTTACTGGTTATACGACAGAGTTGATTGAATTTTGGCTGTCATCAGCTATTTTAAAGTCCTCCTGTTCTGGGTTATGTAACTTTTGGTTACTAGCTTTAAAAAAAGAAAATGAACTATAATATATAGCAGCTGTCTTGTCCCAAGCCTGTGCCCAGCGCCTTGCATTCCTCATCTCATTTAAAGAAGTAACCACAAAGCCGCCTCACCTTCAGCTAAACTATGTACCTTTCACTCTTACCACAACTAAAAGGAGAGCACAGCAGTGGAGGACATGACTAGGCACATAGGTTCAAATCTTAGCTCTGCCACCTACTAGCTGTGTGATCTTAGGGATGCTTCTTAGCCTTTCTGAATTTCTCTTTTCTCACCTGTAGAATGAGACTAATCAAACCTATTCAGAGGCTATTTTTGAAGATTAAGTATGTCTGTAAAACACTGTGTGCTTAATGCATAGAAGCACTCAATATACAGTAACTATAATGAAAGAAAGTGGCTTCACTACATTTATCAAAATGGTATAAGAAAGCTCAGAGTGTGTTTTTCTGTTTATAGGAAATCTGGGTTTTACGTTACTCACAACTGAACTCTCAGGACCACAGTCAATAGTCCAAATACAAGGCCAGCTAGTAAACCGAGATCCAGCCCCAGAATGATGGACACTATACACGTAAACACCCAGATAACCTAGGGAAAAAATAGAAATGAAAATAATTATATTAATGTATCAGGTACCATCATGTGATAACTACCTATAAAAATAAGATCAATTATCCACAAACAAATTACAGTTGTTTTTTTGTTTTGTTTTGTTTTGAGACAGGGTCACACTCTATTGCCCAGGCTAGAGTGCAATGTCACCATCATAGCTCACTGCAGCCTCCATCTTCTGGGCTCAAGTGATCCTCCTGCCTCACCCTCCCAAGTAGCTGGGACTACCCACAGCTACACACCACCACACCTGGCTAACTTTTAATTTTTTATTTGTAGTAGAGACAAGGTCTCACTGTGTTACCCAGGCTGGTCTCAAATTCCTGAGCTCAAGTGATCCTCCTGCCTACCAAAGTGCTGGGATTACAGGCGTGAGCCACTGTGCCTGCCCAAATCACAGCTTTTTAAAAATATTGTGACTTCATTCATTTTATATTTAAGTGGCTGTAGAAACTGGGCTTCTCAATTAAGACCAACTGTCCCATTTTATTTATTTCTAACCTTTTGAATAGCTAATATAGGTGCATGGTTCAGAAGGGAATTCTTAAAAAGGGGAAAACTCTAGCTCACAACCCTCCCCCTTCTCCACCCATTCTCAACTTCCCTCCCTCCTTGTATCCACTTTTATTTCTGCCTGTGTCTGTGCTTTTCCCCAGCATTTCTATTCTGGTCTCTTTTTCACTTAACGATTTGTCTTGGAAAATTTTCCATATCAATATGTAGGAAGTCTTCTCATTCTTTTTATGGTTTAAATTAGAGAGGAACTCTGAAGGATTTAGCTTCTGATTTTTAGTTTCTCAGAATAGTTGTGAAGGTTATGTTAGTCAGAGTTAAAGTCAGCATGGGTTTTTACATTTCGTATTTTGTTTTTGCATTGTTTTATATGTTGTTTGTCCTTCTAAACTAGGGTGTTTAAACTTTTTTTTTTTTTTTTTTTTTTTTTTTGCTTTTTGCATTTAGAAGGCCAAAGGTATATGAATGAGTCTCATATGGGATTCTTGCTGGAAATTGACCTTCCCAGAGATACAGGATCTTCACAAAGTGCAGTTCACATGGAAGACTTCATGGCTTTGATTTATCCACACAATTCTAATTTCTCCTCTGGAGTTCCCAAAATGCAAGTGAGACTTAGGGGATAGGGGGAATATAGTGATATGGCAGGAAGCACATAAGAACCAAATCTTATTTCAGATAAAAAGGGGTGGTAGGTGACTTACAGCATCAATCTTATTCTGCCTCCACAGACGAGGAATGTCACACACCTGCATAAACATCCCTTTCAGGTTGGCAATCACAACAGCTGCTAAGACCGACTGCCAAGAGAGACAGAGAAGGCTGTGTTATTCAGGGAATGGTTTTCCATGTGATGATTGTTAAATCTCCTCTTATTTATCTGGTAGCAGAGTAGTGAAGGGAAATTACGCAATCGGTATGCCGAGAAGCAGGGTTATACCTTCTGCAAGGGTTCCAGAAGCTTCCCCAGGGCAAGAATAGCGATCATCACAATCCCAGCAGAGATGATGCCAGCAACCTGGAAGACACACACCTCCCATGAAAAGGATTCGTTCTTCTCCCTTGTGTCTTCCAGCTCACTGAATGTGTGTATGAGACAGCCTGTTCACAGACCCACTTCATACTTCCCTGCCTCCCCCTTCTGCTCAATACTGTAGAGAAAAGTGAGAGTTATTTGCTCAAACTACAAAACTGAACAAAAATGCTATCTATATATGCTATGGCAGAGAAGTTAAAGAAAATATGGAAGCTGATCCCATGAAATTAAAGCCAGTTTGACAGGGATTTTATTTAGAGATACTACACAGCTGCGGTTTCGGCGTTTATTCAGGCCAACCTTCTAGTTATTTGCCATGGCAGGAAACATGGACCAACCCCCCTTTCCCAACAACAGAGATCATTGTCATATTCTTGGGAAATAAATTCTCATGGCACATAGCTGATTCTTCTGCATTATTGAAGCTGCAGCTATAATAGCAACTCTGGTAACACTTCATACTTATAGCACATGGTCTCATTAAAGTCTCAGAGAAAATAAATTTACTCATCCTATTGCAAATTCAAAATGCCACATTGGCACATTGAGAGATGGGATTGTGTCTCCTGCTTCCTGGCACAGTTGAATGGAGGCAGGCTCAGAGCTTTGCCCCAAGGCAGCCTGAAACAGTGGCTATGGAGTGACAGGGCAATAGCAGGGGTAAAAGGAAGCTTCAGAAACTTTACCTTCGCTGGCAAAAATAGCTCTCCTAAGATCCATAAATAGGAGAGAGACTGAGGGGGTGGGGACTACTCTCTCGTTTGATTAGATGACCAATGAATTGTCTGTCGAGACAACTGGGGCAGAGCCGAGTTGAAGATTAGAAGCTCTGAAACAAAGAAGAAAAGGAGGCAGAGAACTACAAGCAAAGCAATCAGAGGGGAAGCAACAGGGAAGATTGTGTTGAGCACAAGGACTGCCTAGTGCAAGAGGTCTGAGTTACAGGAGACAGACACAGCAAATATAAAAAGAAAATTAGAAAGCATTCGCTCCACCTGGCAAATTGATCTGGAAAATTAATCTAAACATATTTAGATTATAGTTGGGTCAACCTGGGGCAATATGATGTATATGAGGTACTAAAAAGTGTGCTTCGTATGTCCGGCTGCCTTTTCTATGCTCTTCCTATCCCCACCCTAGATTCCCAGTTCCCTGGTGCTCTTCCCCTTCTCCTAAGCAGAGAAGCTGATATGCTCCTTCCCTCCCTTCTCTTCGCTTTCCTTCATATCCCTTCCCTTCCTCTCCCTTCTCCTTCCTTCCATTTTCTTCTTTCCTTCCTTCCCTTATTCCTCCCTTCCTTCCTTGCATGCAATTACTCAACCAGTATTTACTGAGCCACTTGCGTCTCACTGTGGATGTGGAGCTCTGTAAACTGGAGAAAGATATGGAGATTTGGGGACAAGGACCACAGTCAGCTGCCAAACTCATGTCAGGAGAGTGACCACCTACTCGCCAAGTATATGTCATAATTAGTCTCCAATGATGGGAGGCCAAAGCTAATTTTGGCCACTATATTAAAATCGGTGAGTGATCAATTATTTGTACTTACTTGATAAGGCTTCTTTGTGAGAAACTCTGTAGACTTTATATCTACAAGCAGATTCAGTTACTAAAAAATTATTCTGTTAAGGGGGGTGGGTAATCAGAGCTAAAGAGTGGTTTGTAATCAGAATTACTTTTCCGGGAGTCAGTAGAAGTCAGATGGGGGTGAGGGAAAGAAAAGGTTCCAATGTTTAATTCTTCTACAATCTGTAGATGTGCTAAAAACAGTTCATGTCCACCAATACTCATTCTTCCATTCATCCATTCAGCAAATATATGCCAGGTGCTTCTTACATGCCAGGCACAATATATGTATCATAGATGCTAAGATGCTATTCTTACCTAAAGGAGTGAAACAATGAGCATTTACAAGTATGTGCTAAGACTTTACATTTTCTTATTTAATCCTCACACTATCCCTATGAGAGGGATGCAATTCTCATTTCCATTTTGTAGATGCTGAAACCAAAGTTCCAATATAAGAGAAAACACAAGAAGCCACATAAGAGAAGCCCTGCCAGTTTATTTGTCCATCAGTCCCTGGATTTCAGTTCAGGTACTTAGACTTTTAACCCCAGAATTTAGTATACATAGTATAAATATCAAGCCATTTCTTCACTCGTTTCATTCTTTAATACTGAAATCCTGGCATCCTTCATTCCTAAATATAATACATGCCAGTATGTGGCAGGGGGTATTAGCTTACCAGAACACCATTATCCCCCAAACCCTCTGCCAAGGAGGTCACTTTACATGGGCGTTCTTACTGGAACTGCCAGCCCAGGCCTCATTTGAGCCTGGAGGTAACATCAGGAGAATGGACATCAGCAGTTTGAGATGTGCCTGCACCCGCTGAAGACCATGTGCTCTGGAGAGCTTGGCAATGCTCTGTCTCAAATGAAAGCAGCAGAAGCTCCTACTGCTGACAGCTGCAGCCTGGAATCGGCACAGCTTTGGAAATTGGCTCTGACCTCTTCCCCTTGACCACAGATCTCTGGCTATGCCTCCGGATATGAGCTGTATTATTTTACCTGCTCCCTCAGAGCTGGAAATATTTGCAACAAAAAACAAAGTAAGAAAAGTTCTGAAAATAAAAATTTTTGTTGAAAAGCAGTCCCAAAACTGGAAGAGGCCAATTCTTCCAAGTCTGTCACAAGATCCATTATAAATAGGAAAGGAGCATCACATGCATATTGGGGACAATTAAAGCTCTCCCTGGGCAAGTCACTGTTATAGTCATTCGTTTTTTCAGTTATTCTCATATATATATATATATATATTTGACAGAGTCTCGCTCTTGTCATCCAGGCTGGAGAGCAATGGCATGATCTCAGCTTACTGCAACCTCCACCTCCCGGGTTCAAGCAATTTTCCTGCCTCAGCTTCCCAAGTAACTGGGATTACAGGCATCCCCCACCACACCTGGCTAATTTTTGCATTGTTAGTAGAGAAGGGGTTTCACCATGTGGCCAGGTTAGTCTCAAACTCCTGACCTCAATGGATCTGCCCATCTCAGCCTCCCAAAGTGCTGGGATTACAAGCATGAGCCACAGTGCCCGACTTACATTTATTTTTTAAGCGTCCCTGCCTTAATAAAACCCATTTGAAGACTGTGTGTGTGTGCGTGCGTGTGTGTGTGTGTGTGTGTGTGTTTATTGCACTATGTAGTTTGTTTGTTTGTTGTTCTTTGTAGTCTCAATGTACTTCTTACTCCTAAATAATAGTTCTTTCTCTGTTGGGAAGATAAGGCCCTCAAGGCACAAGAAACAGAAGCACAATTCCTGAGTCTGTCCCTTGTGGCCATCTGCTTGGTGTGGTCTCTTCAATTGTGTCCTGCTGGAAAGAGTGGCCTTTGAGCATGGCTCCTGAGCTTTCTGAATGCTGAAAGAGGGATTATCCAGAGATTAACTAGGATGCTGGCTTTTTGGCCACCTTGTAAAGGCAACAACTGCAAACCACATTTAAAAGATAAGATTAAACCCACATGCAGAACTTCAAGAACATGAATCTTAGGAAGAAATGCCAAAAATGTTACAACAAAAATATTCTTGGCTAGCAAGCTGTTGTTCTGTTGGACCAAGAGCCCTGGAGGAAGTTCCTGATCCTTGTAAAGGAAATGTGAATAGAGCTTTTCACTTTCCTGAAAATAGAGTAACTCCTAAAGCCAGGAAGCACTTTTACTAGGCCATCTGTCTCCCCAGGTAACAAATTAACAAAAATCAGCATCCTTCATTACTGATTCCTTGTCAGTTGTTATTGACCGTGGAGAAGCAGGTAAGTGTAGCTATAAGCCTGGTGAGCACTGACACAAATAGATTTGAGAATCGCTGTATCAGAAAACCATACATGTTGTTTTGTTAAGAGATTTTAGGTGAGGGAGCGGAACAAAAGGAATAGGCCTGAGGTGAATCTGATTAGGAAGTACAAGTCTGAAAGGTGAATTGTCCTGCTAAGCTCTGTGCTAGCCTTCCTTGGTTGCCATGACTCGGCTTGTTTTCTGAGATGGATATCACAAGGCTGTTGCTCCTACCTGTGTCTTTCCTCCAGTGCTCTCCTGGACGGCCGTGCGGGACAGAGCAGTGGTGGCCACAAAACAAGAGAAGAATCCTGAGAAGATGTTGCTGATCCCAAAGGCAATGAATTCCTAAGGGAGAGACTGGATGACAACGATCCTACAAATTGAATCTTTGCAAGACCTTCGCTGAATATTTCAGAAAGTACATTAAGAACAAAAACTCCCATGCCCACCCTGCCTGGTGGTCCAGTTTAATTTTTACGGTGATAGGTACTTGAGGTCCTTGTACGACATCAGGAGTTTGGACTCTATACCATCCGAGAGCGGTGCTCTCGATAATTTTTAAAGTTGACAAGAAATAGCATCTGATCATTTGCTAAGCTTTTTCACTGCCTAGTGAATGGAATGTCTGCAGCTCTCATATAAGTGTTTTTCTGTGGCTGAATATTCGCTATGAAGCATATTACGACTAGCAGTGCTGTTATTCTGCTTGATTACTAACCATTTAACTGCTGTCATTGCTATACTGTATCTCCAGAAACGTATAGATACAGAACTTGCAAATTTGCAAGCAGTGTGAAATCAGCTTACCTGGCAATGTCTCACATACCTACAAAAACTGCCTGTATATATTAACTGCACAGTGAACCACCTCAATTTAAAGTGGTCACAACTATTATTAATGTTTGTTGCACTACTTTCTCACATTATAACTGCCATTAAAAATAATTGCCAAGAGGTACTGGGTTACATGAAGAATTCTCTTTCTGACCTAATATGTTCACTTTGAATGTTATTTATGACCTGACTGAATTAGCTCTTTTAAAATTAGTGTTATTTCAACTTATTTCTTAAAAAAGCAAAGTGATGCAGTGTGTCTATTCCAAAATAATTTCTAATTAGCAAACACGAGAGGAAAACCAACCCAATAAGGTCTGGTGAAAAAATCCAACCCCTTCTTTAACTGACAGCAAAATCTTTTCCATTTATGTTTTTTTCCTGTTTCCAGCCCTATAAAACTAGTTCAGCAAAAGGGCACCCATACCTGGTTCCCATCGATGGCATAATCATACTTGGTGGCATATACTTTTCCTACTGACACTGCAATAGCATAAGCCACCACAGCGATGGAAAATGATGCAGCCAGCATCTCCGAGAACAGGCTCACAGGTGGAAGTGCAGGAGGCAAAAACCTAGTGAGTTTTTAAATGAAAAATGCTGTGAAGATTTGACCACTATTCTTTTTCCCCATCTCATCAAATGCTATATCCACTCAGTCACATATTAGACATGAAAGTACTTGATCCAAAAGAACAAAAAGCACTTGAAATACATACATGGTAGTAGCAGCTTTTATAATGTTTAATCAGAAGTTGGTGTTATCTCACTGGCTGATTTCTTTGTCCTCTATTTTCGAGCCTACCCATGCTGCCTCTTCTATATCTCTCACATGAATAAATCTGCTGTTACTGATTCTTTAATATCATACAGCCCCATTCATGCCATTTCACATGTTAGTGTTTCTCCTTCCACAATTCCATCTTAAAGGTCTTTGAATTTAAAAGATATTTTAGCCATAATATGAGATTTACTGTGTATGAAGAGGTATCAGGTCTGTTAAAGAAACAAAGAATGTATGATGCTAAAAGAGCTCAGTGGAAAATCTTTTTTTGAGAGCTATGACATTTAAAATCTTCTTAAGGCAAAAAAGATTAAATTAATGTAATTATCACAATGCTCCACAGTGACTAAAATATCTCAATAATTGTGGAGTCCAATGACTATTGTTTGACAAAACCAGAGCTACCCTACAAACCGTATAAAAAAATTAACCTGCAGGTTACATCATGAGGTTGTCTCAAATATGAAAATTTGGGACATGGACCTATGTCTTGATGACTCTCCATATGGTGTAATTCCAGAGGCCCCCAGTCATGAAATGTCTCCCCGACCTACCTCACTTATGCCTAAAGTTTCTTTAATAAGGACACTACATTTTCCCGTATAATTAGAGAAGAGTGGTAAAAATAAAATAGAAATAAAGTTCTTAGAGAAAACTATAGAGAAAGTTAAACCTAGCAAGCATCCTAGGTATTGTTGAATCCACCTCTCTTGTTTTGTTGATAAAGGAACTTAGACTTGGAAACATGAAGTGATTTGCTTGAGGTCAGTTAGTGGGTCCAGGTCTAAATGTTAGATATTAGATGATTTCCTACCTAATAAGATCTGTGTGGTTCTCTGCCCTTGCAGCCTTACTCTCCCTACCAGTGAGGTCAATTTTCAGACTCCTTTTCTCCTTATATCCCATCCTACCCCTCAAGGAGACTCTGGAATGAACCCCATCTATAGACAGACAGGATGTTAGAAACCCTGATCCAAAAGTTGGGTGACTCAGCATCACATCACCTGCTAGTTGGGATGTGACTTGGGACCACACTTCTCAAAACAGGCTCGTGACTTGCTCCTGAGACCCAGTCAACCCTACTTCAGGTCACTTGGACTTGTCAGAGTAACTTTCCAGTTTCACATACAGTTTAGTTTTGATAGCAGCCTAATGTGCACTGCCTGCCTGGCTGCCTAGTTCTCCAAATATAACCTGATCCTTGATTATCCAGGGTTGCAAAGTGTAAAGTGCAAAGACTTAAGTCAAAGGACCAGAATCACTCTCAAATGACTTTGGGCATGTTATTTAACCCACCACGTCCCAGTTTCCTCAGCTGCCAAATGGGGACTGTATAGTCTTCTCATAAGATTCAATGAGGAATCACCTGTGTAAGTAATTAGTATCTACACATATAGTAGGTTCTCGGTATGTATTGGGAGAACCTAAGTCTATCATACTCCTGCCACTCATGTCTGCTGTCTTGCTGAACCCTAAGTGTGCCAATTATTTGCCCCAAACCAATTGAAGTCCCAAACCAATTTGCCCCCAAACCAGTTGAAGTCCCGTCTGGATATCTTATAATGACCTGTAAGTAAACCTTTTTTCCTTGCTCTTGCCCTCCTTCTGTGGACATAACTCTCCAAATTTTTGCTCAGTGGGCCTGTTTGGCCCCAGCCAAGCATGTCAGGCCTGATCATGAGACATCACTACCAAGAGCCCAAGTGGAGTGAGCATGTGAACACACACTTATCTGAAAATATGAAGACTAGGAGAAGTGAACCCTGAAGGGCCCAAAATTCCACAAACAGGCCAGCGTCCTAAACAGAATACCACAATACTTCAGACTGGGTCTGAACACTTAGCAAATGCACCACCACTCCAGCTAGAGGAGAAGAGTAGCCCTCAGAAAGCAGCCAGGAAGAAACCCCTGTGGTTTTGTTGACTTTGCCCCTGCGCTACGCTTTCAAGTACAACTGCAAAGCACATACTTTAAAAACAACAGTAGGCCTGAGTTCCCCAAATCAACTAATGGAACCCAGATTGATGGGACAGGGCATGTTCTGTGGGCCACCTATAACCTGATACATGATAGGAAACCTGACAAAAGGGGTCTGTAACAGTGCCTGCAATCCCAGCACTTTGGGAGGCCGAGGCAGGTGGATCACCTGAGGTCAGGAGTTTGAGAACAGCCTGGCCAATATGGTGAAACCCCGTCTCTACTAAAAATTAGCTAGGCGTGGTAGTGTGCACCTGTAGTCCCAGCTACTCAGGAGGCTGAGGCAGGAGAATCGCTTGAACCTGGGAGACAGAGGTTGCAGTGAGCTGAGACCATGCCACTGCATAGCATGCTGGGTGACAGAGTGAGACTCTGTTTCAGGAAAGGAAGAGAAAGAAAGAAAGCAAGAAAGGAAAAAAAGGAGAGAGAAAGAAAGAGGAAGGAAGGAAGAAAGGAAAGGGAAGGGAAGGGAAAGGAAGTGAAGGGAAGGGAGGGAAGAAAGGGAATGAAAGAAAGAAAGAGTAATAAACACAACAACAAGAGGACCTCTGGAACTGACGAGGACAGGAGGCAAGAGAGTGAATAGGGATTAAAATTTAGAGGACAGAGTCATCAAACTTGTTATGGATTCACACACACACACACCCCCCACAGAGATCATGCCACTGCATTCCAGGCTGGGTGACAGAGTGAGACTCTGTTAAAGAAAAGAAAAAAGAGAGTAACAAACATGACAACAAGGGGACCTCTGGAACTGGCAAGGACAGGAGGCAAGAGAGTGAATAGGGATTAAAATTTAGAGGACAGAATCTTGTTATGGGTTTACACATACACACACATGTGCACACACACACACCACACTATAACAGAAGAGGTAAAAGAGAAGCCTAGGGCAGGATGAGTGAGGAACTGGACAGATTACGAGTTGCAGAATAGGACCAGTCACATGAGAAGAGAGGCACATGACTGGCCCTCATAGTGTCTGCTGGTTAAGAAAGCACCCAGGATGAGAGAATGAGTGAATCCTAGTGGGACGCTTAGATGCTGACTGGACAAGGAAAAGTTGTGTGTTTCTACCAGGAAAGGGAGTGGAGGAAAGGGCATGGAGCCACTGTTTTTGGCTGTCCAATGGGGCATTGTTATTGGGGACAGAGTGATCCTAACATATGGTCCCGACCCTCAATAGGATAAAGGGAGCTACCAGCAGCAGCCTTAATGGAGGATTGAAGCAGACAGGAGATCAAAAGGGGCATATCACAATCTCTCTGTCCCTCTTCCTTTCACTGTGCTCACCTCAGGGCCACTTTAATACTCTGCTTGCTCTTTTCCAATCTCTCCACCCCACCCTTTCCTTTTCAGGTTTGTTAATATTGTCAGAATTGCTTCTGTGCTACCAAGTGAGATCGGATAACCAAGGCCTTTGTTGTGGCTTGTTTATAATGACATAGGCTTGGGTATTTTATTCCTTCAACGAGTGTTTTCTGAGAGCTTACTGTGAGATGAGCTCTGTGCTCTGGGACAGAGCTGAACAACACAAATGGGGTCACTGCCCTCGTGGAGGAGCTTAAAGTCCCTGGGGCCAGGCAGGTTAGATTAGCTGACCAAGCTGACCAGGTGGTCTGTCAAAGGATTCAGCTTCATTAAACTCAAGGGCGAGAGGCTAGAAATCTGTTCTCAGGAGGAGCACACAGGAAGGCTCTGCAGAGGACCTGGAGGGATAATTTAGGGCAGAAGAAATGAGTTCCCCAAACCAACTAATGGAACACGGATGGATGGGACAGGGCCTGCTCTGTGGACCACCTATAACTTGATACATCCTAGGAAGCCTGACAAAAGAGATCTGTAAAGTATCTTTTTCTGTAATTGTTTCTAACTAATGAAATCATCTAACTGTTAGATCAGATTTGTTGATCCTCTCTTAAAGAGTTTCTCCAGTTTCCTTGAGGGCAAGAATCACTTGAGGCACTTTTGAAAAATATTAATTCCTGAGCCCGTCCTCTGGAAAGCCTGATTCAATAGGTTTGGGGTGGGAACCAGGAATCTGTGTGAAAAAGGATCCCATGTGATTCTTACAAAAAGGTAAGTTTGAGAAACACTATAATGGATAGCATGTAAATTAAGTCCCATGTAGCCAGCTGTGCTTTTTCAAATAGTTTGGAACAGATATTAGAAGAAATTATAAGATTCATCAAATGGGAATACAGCAGTTCTCTGTAGAATAAGCTCTGGGAATAAACTTGCCTGAGGAAGTTTCTATGAAGAGCATGGAAAACAAACACTGGTACCAAACAGTGGCTCCATGCCCTTCCCTTCCCTCCACTCCCTTTCTTGGTAGAAACACTGGTACCAAACTCTTCTAGTCTTAGGGAAAACTAGTACTTCTTGATTAACAGCAAGTCTAGTCTTAAATGTTATGAGTGAATGTTACAAATATAATAAACATCTAGGCTTCCTTTGTAACCCCATATAAGAAAATTATGGTATAGGGTATCTTGTCTACTCTTCATTTCATGAGAGATCTCACTGGTGTTTTACAACGAGTTGAGGCTTCAGCTGTTTTCATTATCCTTGTCTTACATAGGAGAATCTCTTCAAGTCACAAAACTGGAAGGTGACAAAGATGAATGAAGGACCTTGGTCTTTTACTCTTCTAATTAACCAAACTACCAAACGTTTCTAAAACTTCCCTTGAAGATAATGCATTTACTTATAGGTAGGAGGGATATAATTATTATCTAAAATTGATTAAACTAAATGGTAGAGAGTTTAGGCCAGATGTCCCTGATTCCTTAAGCAGATTGTTCACAGTGCAATAGATGTTACTAAGAAATGATTCTATTTATATTATATTATAATGTTATGTATAAGTTTAAATCAGGAGTCTGGTGTTAACTGTACATGTTTGCCATGTTTTAAGAAAATGAAGAAAAAAGAGCATATAGGGGCTGCTGCTTTTAAACAAATGGCTTGATGTTTATCTACAAACATACTGTTTGTCTTATGGTTGTTTCTTCAAGATCACACACAAATAGGACTATTGAAGGAGCATCAGTGAAATGAAGCTTGTAATAAAAGGTTTCATTTAAATAAAAAGGACTGACTTACTGACTTAATGTGTTAGTACTATCTAAGAGGAACACCACACTCACCCCCTTGGGATGGATTTAACAATGCCAGCATTGTAATTTTTTTCCAGGTTGGCTCCATATGAAATGGCAGTAGCAATTATTGTCTAAAATAAAACAAAAGATGTTAAAAATTCAATTGGTTTTAATAATTCCTTGCTTGTCAACCAAATAATGCTGAACTTTATAACTACATATTCTACTTACCACAATTACTTCTATAGGAATAGGGACTGGGATTTTGTGTCTAAACCGATCGTTTAATTCCTTAACTGCCATACAGACAACAATGGTGAGTAATCCAGCAATGAAATCAGCAAGATTGGTATCACCAATATTTTGAAAAATTTCAACCAGCGTCTATAAAAAGAAAATAATTTTATATACTTCCTGCTGCTACACACACACACACACACACACACAACCAATTTTCATATGAATCTTCCCACACGAAAAACCATGATATCAGAGTCAAACAACACTCAAAAGTTTCAGTAAAATGATAAAAATGTGTTGGTTGATACGGAGACCATTACATACATATAATTGCTGCAATATATATATATACACCAAGTTTTTTATGATCGTTTACTTGGGAAGGAAAAACTGGATGATTTCTACATTCTTATTTTTGCTTCTGTGTATTTTTTATGATAATAATAAAGATGTCTTACAAGAAAAACATGTCATTATAAACATATTACCTTTTACTTGCAGAAAAGCTTTACAAGTTTGTATCTTAAAATGGGCTTCTAGGTGCTATCAAGTAGACTGATTTTTACTATGGTGATATAGCATTGAAACTAAAGGCTGATAAACCTGAAACTCCCAGTTGATCCGTTGGTTGGTTTGTGTGTGTGTGTGCATGTCTGTGTGTTTTCTTTCTTTCTATCTTCCTTTTTTTTGGTCACAATTAGTCAGTATTTTAGGTAAAGTTCTTTCCTAAACCTGAATGATACAGATAATAACCAAAAATAACAAAAAATCCTAAAATACTTCATATGTGGATACAGGTAGACTGATTCATTCTTTATGGCAAAGAAAAGCTATTGAATTGACATACAGGCCAAGCATAAATTTTTGGAAATAAATTTGGTACTTAATTTTATGTATCAAACTTGAACTAAGATAACACTAAAATTTTTTTTGAGCTCTGTTGCCCAGGCTGGAGTACAGTGGCCTCGAACTCCTGAGCTCAAGCAACCTTCCATGTCACCCTCCAGAGTAGCTGGGGCTACAGGCAGGCATCTATATTTATTTTATTTATTGTAGATACTACAATAAATAGGCTATTTTATTTTCTGTAGAGATCTGGGTAGAGGGCGGGGATGGGTGGGCGGTATCTCACTTTATTGCCCAGACTGGTCTCGAACTCCTGGCCTTAACAAATCCTCCTGCCCAACCTCTCAAAGTGTTGGGGTTACAGGCATGAGCTAGCACAGCTGGCCAAAACAAAAATCTTTAAGTAGACAGATGAATCAATTCAAGAAAAACTAGTTTTGTTTTGTAAATAGGAGACTTCTGGGAATCAAGGGTGTTTTCAAGGAAATTAGCAAGGAAGAATCCCAGGGAAGAACACTAATATCTTTGTTATATTAACCTCAGTCCTATAGAAGGCATTATTAAAGAGGGTATCTTTGAGACAGTTCTTTGAGACAGTCTCCCAGTGAAGAAAACTTTTCTTTAAATGAGCTTTCTTATAGACATATTTTATAGGAAGATAAAAGAACGGAGCATCTTATAGTTTATCACATGTATTTTACTTATTTTCACAGATAAACTACTTTTAAAATAATTATAATGATAATTTGATGACAATTATGTATGAACTGAATGAACATTAAGTACTTAATGAACCTTAAGTAATCTAGGAGTCACTTTGCCATCAACCTCAACTCTCTGGAACACAATCAAGAAGAGTAAGGGAATGGGGGAGAAGTTATTATGCAAGCAGAATACCTCCCACCAAGCCCTTGGACTAGAGTCTGGGCATTTAACTTGTAGGAAAACTCTTGAACTTTCACTCCAAGGGTACTTTTGCTCTCACTTGAAACCCAGTACTAACAAATTCAGTTTGTCTGCTTTTCAGAATCACTGAAAATTGCTAAAGGCAGATACACTGACAGAAACAAGATGATGCAGGGGACAGCAGAGTGAAAAAGAAAATGGGATAACTACCACCAGCAGACACAATAACAAGAACTTAGGGCATTTAACACAGGAGCAAACAGCCCTACCTACCCCAGAGGCTTGAAAGTTATCATTGCGGTTTGGTCCTTTACATAATCAGTTTTCTGATGGATGACCCTGATTAATTCATGAGCTAGGCATCACATTTTGATGAATTGTCTATTCATTAAAAGTGTACTTTTCAACTGAAGATGGAAAAATTGAAACTTGAAAAACAAAATATTTGGAATCACTATCCAAATTATTTTTGATTATTTCAAAAATAATCACTACAGGATTCCAGTTTAATCCATGAGAATCACTTAGACCTTTGAATAAAAAGTATGTCTGGTGGATTAAAAGTATAACATGAGGTTCAAAAACCAAAATCAGTTTATATTACACAATTGCATCATGCAAGGCATCTGAGTATATAAATAAGTTGCCTACATATTAAGTAATCATTCAGAATCTTTTAAGACAAGCTCTATGATAGAAAGTTTAATCTGTGTAGAAATAAAACTCATCATGTAAACTGAAATAGTCAGATTATACTTAACAACATAGAAATTAGACTCTACAAAAACACTGAACAGTACTTCTAATTTAGTTTACTGTTAAAATACCAGAAAATATGTTAATAGTATGGATACCCATATGATTCTGTATTTTAGCTTAGTATTCCAAATAATTCAAATTATGATAATGAACTTTTTGGCAATAGATAATATTTTACTGTATTTCCTGCTGTGTTTGGACAATTTTAGGACAATTTCATTTAGCTAACTTCTTTGTTCTTGCCCAGGATTACCTGAGTTTATGAAGCCATAAGAAAAAAAATTATGCCCAATAATATGTATGAGAAGATTGATCTGTTTACTATTGGAGTTGAATTTATTTTCGTTTATTTTATCTCCAAGAATATCACAAACCCTTCACAACCACCTTTTGCTGTCAGGCATTTCCTTCCATATCTTTTGTGTATACATGTATAGATCAATCCTTAAAGTGTTACTTTAATATAATGGTATAAATTTTACATACTGAAATAGGTACAAAGCAACAAATCTAATCAAGCTTAGTGGTGGCTTTCAAAGCTCTCACCCTTGTCTACTGAGACAAACCATTCAAACTGAATGGTGGGAAATCAACCCCTAAGTGGACTGGGATTTACTTAGATAACTGAGTAGCTACATGGTAGCATCAAAGATATTAACTAATTCTAAATTGCTGCCAATACCCTGTCATTCTCCCTTCTGTCTCCTACATCCAGTATCTCTGGCATTTGTAAATTAACTGATTTCTTTTTCTCCTAATATTTCCTCCTCTATTTCTTTTCATTCGTTATTTCTAGTTTTCAGTACCTCTTTGGGGGGAGAGGGCAGGACAAACCAAAGTGCAACCTTAGAGCAAAGATTAGTTAACATTTCAGGTAAAGTATTTTACAACAATCTTACAGTCTTTCCTGGGAGGGTCCTCTACTACTCTGCATTTATTGAAGGATTCTTTCATGTATAATTGCAATGGTAATATCATAAGCAAAATTCTCTGTTCAGGGACTAAGCCGCCAACTCAACCCTATGCAATCATTTTCAGACGTGCTGAATCTTTTTTTTTTTTTTTTTTTCAGAAGAGCAAACTTATATTCACCACCACATAGGGATGATTGAAATACCTTCTCCAACTTGGCTGGCCTGTGAGGAGTTTCTTGCAAAATTCTATGCTGTATACTAAACTGAGACTTCAATAAAAATATTCAACAGGAAATAAGTTACACAATGACTGCACTTGGTTTAAAACATATTTTTGATCTTGGTCTAGTGTTTCATGGTCACTTTTGTCCCTGTCAAATTGAAACCATTTGCAGAAAGTTTCTTCTTAAACATAATCCTACGAGACCAGAAGAACTATTTCTCCTGTTCTGCAAGGGTCCTGCAATGGCCATGGACCCAGGTCAACGATTAGTTTGGACCTCCTGTGATCTGTGTAGATGAAGGCCTAGCAATGTTTGCCTAATGAGGTGAGTATATTCAGTAAGAGATGTCTTGGTAGGTTAAGGAGTCACTGGGTTTGTATAGGGAGTGAACAGTGCCTGGCACATGGTAAGTATTCAATATATGTGTATTGAATAGATAAACTGAATGAATGAGAATGAAGGAATAAATGAATGAACATTTGATGAAGAAAATGTAAAAGTAAGTAAAAAGCAAGATGTGCAAGGGGCTGCAAAAGTTACAGAGCCTGTCCAAATAAGGCAGTCAGAGGTCTCAAAAAGAACTAAGGATTGGCCAGGTGCAGTGGCTCACACCTATAATCCCAACACATTAGGAGGCTGCAGTAAGAGGATTGCTTGAGGCCAGGGATTCAAGACCAGCTTGGGTGACATTGCAAAACCCCTGTCTCTACCAAAATAAAATCTTAAAAATTTTAATTTTAATTTTAAAATATGGGCTGTACATGGTGGCTCACTCCTGTTATCCTGGAACTTTGGGAGGCCAAGGTGAGAGGATCACTTGAGCTCAGGAGTTCGAGACTAACCTGGGCAACATAGCGAGATATTGCCTCTACTAAAATTCAACAAAGAAAAAGAAAATTAGCCAGGTGTGGTGGTGTACACCTGTAGTTCCAGCTACTCAGGAGGCTGAGTGGAAGAATTGCTTGACACAGGGAGATGGAGGTTGCAGTGAGCTATGACTGTGCTACTGTACTCCAGCCCAGGCAATGGAGAAAGATCCTGTCTCAAAAAAAAAAAAAAAAAAAAAAAAAAAAAACAAAATTAAAAATTGACAGAAAAATTGAAAAAAAAAATA